CCAGTTATCTAATAGTGACAAACAAATACAGAAAGGTGAACTTCAATTAATTCAAATGGTTTCTTGGCTTCCTCTGTGACCCGGAGATCACCTTAAAGCAATAATTCCCCAGCAGCAGCTTAAATGTGTCAATCTAATATTTATAAAGTAAAGTTTTTATCCTTACAGGGACACTTTAAGCACAAAAACAAGTTTAGCATAATGAAGGGATTTTGGTGCATAGATCACGCCCCTACAGTCCCACTTCTCAATTCTCTGCTACTTATAAATCACTTTGTTAATGCAGCCCTAGTCACATGTCTCCTGTCCATAACAGGATGTTCAGTGCAGAACATACAAACTTCTAAAGAAAACACACTGTGCTGTAAGATCTGATTGAAAATTTAAAGGACCACTGTAGTGCCAGGAAAACATACTCGTTTTCCTGGCACTATAGTGCCCTGAGGGTGCCCCGCCTGGCTCTGGAAAGGGGTAAAAACTTACCTTTTTCCAGCGCTGGGCGGAGGGCTCTCCTCCTCCGATCCTCCTTCTCTCCTCCCCGTCGGCTGAATGCGCACGCGCGGCAAGAGCTGCGCGCGCATTCAGCCGGTCACATAGGAAAGCATTCATAATACTTTCCTATGGACGCTGGCGTGCTCTCACTGTGAAAATCACAGTGAGAAGCACGCAAGCGCCTCTAGTGGCTGTCAATGAGACAGCCACTAGAGGAAATAGGGGAAGGCTTAACCCATTCTCTGAAACTGCTATGTTAATGAAAAAATGGGTTAACCCTAGAAGGACCTGGCACCCAGACCACTTCATTAAGCTGAAGTGGTCTGGGTGCCTAGAGTGGTCCTTTAAACTTTTCAATGCAGGCTGTCAGTCACAGCCAGTGGAGGTGTGGCTAGAGCTACATAAACAGAAAGGAAAGTCATTTAACTCCTAAATGGCAGTGAATTGTAGAGTGACACTGCAGGGGCATGACACATACACCAAAACCCCTTAAGCTGAAGCTGTTTTGGGGTTTAGTGTATCTCTATGCATTTTTGGCACTCATCCTTTAAATTTAATTTGGAGTTTACCAAATTCTATGTAATAAGAAGGAACTTCACAAACACCTCTTTCTTACAGCAGATTCTGAAGGCTGCAGTTACACAGTCCAATTCCTATTAGGTATGTTTGTGCATATATTGCGGTAAATACTAATTAAGTTACCAGTGCAAACACACGGGTATCAAGTTATTCTGGCTTTTTGATTTGTCAGGAAGACAGGATTGGAGAATATGGGGGTAGAAGCTAGACTGCAGCTCCTGATTTACCAACTATTATATGTCTATGGAATCTCATTGCACATGTATAAGAGCTATGGGGAAAGATACACTCTCGTGAGATCTTCCAGAGACCGCAGTATTGCACACATGTGCACAAGTGCAAGACTAAAAGATGAGAACTCCAGGTGGCTTCATCTGCCAGAACCTGGACTTCAGACGTTCCCAGCACTAGGAAGGTGAGTTTTATAAATGTAAAATGCAAAGAACACACAAGTGGCAAAGCCGCTGTAAGTCAGACATCTATGAAGCCAGTCTGTCTGTCTTCGTGGTTAAGTAAACTAAACATTAAAGGGACACTCCAGACTCCTTAAGTACTCTGGTTTGCTGAAAAGCGTTACATGTGAAGAGTATGTTTCAATAGAAATTGACACTTTTACAAATTAACCTGGTTACACCCCCTGGCTTTTAAGCAGACAACAGGACCTATTACTTCCTGGTTTGGTTAGCTCAGTGGAGCTAAACACAAGAGGCAGCAATTGCCCAGAGCACCTGCCTTACAAACACTTCTCATTGAGCTTCATTGGAAAGTCTGTGATTGGACAGCCAAAGAAAGTCTGGATGGAATTAGAAGGGGAGGGCTTGTAAAGGCTGTAGACAAGAGATCTGCAGGTTTTGCATCTGTTTTTAAGATATACCCCCTTAATGACAAAATGCATAATTAAATACATGTATGCCTTCTCTTGGGATATATACGAAATAGTGATTTTTATTTATTTTGAATTTAGGCAGTGGAGTGTCCCTTTAACTTTTTAGAGATCAGTTGGTCTGTCAGCAACTTTAGACTTGCCCATAGTGTCTACACCTCAGACATACATGGGGTGGGATATGAAAATATAATATAATGGATTTGTAAATAAAATAGCACACTAAGACATGTTTCAATAAACATACACATATTGCAGGATATGAATTCTATTGTTTGTTTGAAATTAAAAATGTATTCTAACTGGCTGCTTATTGCTTTTAGACACACAAATTCTAGTAATTGTGATTAGCCAGAAAATGCACTTATGTGGATAAACTAACGTCGATCCACCACAGAACTGTACAATAGCAGGAAAACAGACCTTCACAGACATGTGAAAACAATAGAGCATTGTCTGTTTGCTAATTCTTCAATTTTCTAATATATGTATCAAAGGCATTATAGAAACTACTAGCACAACAAAGTTAAAATGTGGTTTTAAAGAAACACTCAAACCATCGAGCTAGCACCCTCACAGATTTAGTCGTTAAACAGTTTACCTGGTTTATTATGGTACCTGGAGTCCACCCATTACCTATCTTCATCTCTCCTAGAGCCAGATGCTCCTTAAAGGAGCGCCCGCTAGCTGCAATGAGTTAAGCCCTGACGTGCATGGACACTTTTTCAAGAGAGAGTCAGTTGTTGAGAGCACAACCCTGAGTGCAGGAGTTTTCGTCTACAACGCATGCTGCGGATGGCCCTAGGTAAGTTCTTTAAATGGTTTGACTACTTACACTGGAAGAGTGCCAGGGTACTATTGGCACCATAACCACTTCATGATTGTGCTTGAAGCGATCCTTTAACAATTCTAAGTAGCTATGGAATATCCTATCTACAAAAAGGAGAAGAAAGAAATGAAATTCTTCTCTTTTATAGAATTGTAACACGAATGGAAGCATTATTGAATATTTTATTTAAACAAGAAGCCACCAAACGCTGAGACTCAAAACATCAGATTAAAAGAGGCAAACATACGAAATTTAATAGTAAGACCCTCAATTAACATAACCTTCCTGAGGGATTAACAGATTGCATTGAAATTCAAGTAGGTGTTATTTTCTTTCAATTACTGCAAATACTTTTGCCAAAAAGGATTTGTGTTTCTGCAAACACAGATCAGCGAAACCCAAACTCAGTAACTATTTACTCAAAGATTCCCTCTGTGTTAAAGATAGTCTCTGACAAGCTGCGCTGCCATCTGTTTCTGTAGGTTTACGGTGGCTTCACAGTGAGGACTACGTGGTTAGTTTATTCAACAATAGACACCATGTGTACTTCTTGCCCATTAACCAATTCCATTATGCATGAAACGTACAAGTTCTAAAAAGAATGGACCCTTGCACCGATTTCAGTGGCCGCTTTGTCAGCATTTCTTACCAGTAAACGCAAACACTCCTCCTAATTTGTGTTCTAGCAAACGTATACATTTTTATTTAAAGGGTTACTCCCAGTACCATGACCACTTTTAAAGGGTTACTCCAATCATAAACACTGGTTTTTGGTTGGAGTAACCATTTGAATATGGTCCCTGGTGGCAAAAGAGGTCTATGCCAATGGTCTGAATGACAAGAGATAGCAGGAAATATCTCCTACAAGTGGTTCTCCTTCTCTCTGTCACACACCAATCATCACAAACATTTCTCTTGTTTTCTGGGCGAATATATAAATTGAGTGAGTGATGGTAGAGGTAATACGAGAATGTTGGTCTTATTAGGAACATTGCAATATTATGGGAACAGAGGGTCTGGACCAGAATGTTGATGTTACAGCAGAGTAACAGACGTCCAAGCATGGTGGCATCGGAATGCTGGACAGAAGGTAAGTAGTTAGCAATTTAGATATGCAATATATAATATGTCCTTATTGCAAACTATATGTGTTGCTTTAGGGGATGTTAAACATTTATTTCCCTACAGAGTCTGAGGATTGCAAGTTTTAAAAAGACACGACAACCATAGTATGTATATATTGCGAAGCACAATTTGGGCGTCTGTTACTCTGCTGTAACATTGCCATTCTGGTCCTGACCCTTTGTTCCCATAATATTGCAATGTTCCTAATATTGCCAAGATTCTCGTTAAACATTTAATTATAATATAATTATGTCATGACAAGTTCACTTTAAGGTTGTCCAACTGTGGCCTCCTTGGAGCTCTTTGAATGTTACTCCCAGAGTTTCTGGCCAAAATTGTGCTTCGCAATATATACATACTATGGTTGTCGGTCGTATCTATTTAAAACTTACAATCCTTAGACTCTGTAGTGCAATAAAGTGCAGTCGTCATGTTATAACTACTGTCTACATGGTGGCACTTGAGAGACAAAAGCATTTCATCTGTACATTTTCGCTTACACCTGTATGCTTGGGAGCTATAATTATATGCTACAGCTCTGAAGGTCTGTGAGATGCAAGGTTGTACGTATATCCCACAAGTGCAGCACATTAAGTAATGCTTACTTCACCCCCTTCCCCCAAGGTAAACTAAATCTGACCACCAGTGGAACACAAGGTGGAATGAACCATGTGGGACAAACCAAAAGAAATTTCTGAGCTGGAGGAGGAAAGTGCACCGACAAGAATTTGAAAAAAAAAGTGCATAGAAGGATCAACTATACTAAACTTAAATAAAAGTGGACTATTTAAACAGACATTGGGTAGGAGGGGGATGCACGCTTCTTTAACGGTTTGATGCTTTTAAGAGAGTGGAGTAAAAAACTGGTAGATAGGAAAAGGTGCAAAACTGAGTGCAGGCAGCCACAATAAGGTATCACTCCCAAATCCCAATAATACAAAGAACAGGTATAGTATAGATGAAGATATATACAAAATAGGGCGCTGCTATCACAAATGTGTGAAATATAGTTACCACTCAAGATTCAGATGATAACATGTAAAAGATCATAAGCGAGGACATATGGTGAAGTATTTAGTGATAACAAATATTAAAATCCAAACAGTAAAAAACACACTCACAAGAGAAATGGCACAGAAAGAAGTATAACTTAATGTGCAAAAGAGCGTTTCAGCCACCAATGTGCTAGGTCCCCTTAGAGAGAGGCTGCCAATTATACCTCAAGACACAAGTTAGTCAGTGTATTCCAATCAAAGAGAATGTTTGGAGATAAGATGGAGGCAATCTCCGTGGTCCTGCAGGTCTTTGCTTGAATCTTAATTATCTCCTGTGGGCACTTGTATTGGCTCGACGCGTTTCGTCCGTGGACTTTCTCAAGAGAGGATACAGCTCTTGAGAAAGTCCATGGACGAATCTTCAAATAAACGTACCAGTTTTAATAAGGAGGCTTATTGTTGGTATTTATATAGTGCCAACGTATTCCACAGAGCTTTAAAATATTATAAAGGTTGAAACGTAATAAAGTAGACAATTACAAAATGTTACAGGGAAAATAGGTTGATGGGGATCCGGCTCAAACGGGCTTACAATGTAGAAGGAGAAGCCCAAGGGGTAGCTGCCACGGAGTTCAAAGTTTTATTAGTTAAGTACTTTTAGCAACAGAAATATTGACAAGTTTTTTTGTATATATCCCACAGTGCCTGCTTGTCCATCCCAGAATGCCATTCGTAAACCATAACGGAGTCAGTAACGCTGTGGAATAAGTGCATGTAGACAATATGTGCACATATCTCACTGAATACGCAGATTAAATAATCTGTATATTTTCTGCACAGGGAAAGCCTTAATGCTGATAAAGCAAAGTGGTAATTGTGGTTCTAGAAAAGCTGAAGATTTTGTCTATGGACTACAGTTGAAATATCACATGTAACAAGGCCCTGTTGCATATTTCATTATTTCTGTAAAACGTTTGGATCCTGGAAAAATGAATCTCTGATCTCCATATTCAAAGCAAACGACCTGCTGATATTAACATATATTACTATTCTTCAAACAAATATTCAACGCTTCATCAATCCCATAACTCTGGACAGTATCTGGTAACGGTTTCCCACAATGCAGTGTGTGTTACCTGGTCTTGCTTAGATGTGCTTAGATTGAACATTTTCCATGCCAGCTCCTCATTCTGCGTCTGGTACATCCTCGGCTCACTCTGCTCCTGGGTGCTGCAATATGGAAATAACTGCATTGAATCTGACCCTATAATTTGAAATAATGCCATCGTACTAGCCAGGCATGATTACTGCTTATGGTACTGTAGATAAGAGTTGCTGATTTTACAGCTTAGAGCAGGGGTAGACAACCTACGGCACTAGTGCCATGCAGGCCTATCAGGAGTCTCAGTGAAACTTCAGATATCTGCTAATATGAAAAGGTGGTGAAGGACAATCCTCAATTTATGCATTGCAGAATGTAGAGTAAGTGATCTCAAATCACTTCCTCCCAGCACTTGTGAATGGGAATCCACACTGTAGTAGAGCAGCCCACAGCTGCTGTTGCAGCTCCTGTCCTTGACCTGTACCTGGCCAGCCTGGTCCCCACTGGAACCCAGGGAAGCCACCAACACTGCTAGATATACACAGAGCTGCAGAATAACCCTCCCCTCATACAAATAATATGAACAGCCCACACACAAACATACACACAATCCCCACAAATGCAACACCACTAACAATCTACATACATGCACACAATCCCACATGCAGCCTCTCACATGCAAAACCCCAAACAACCCCCACACACTACCAAACACACAATGTGACATATCCACACACACACACACAATTCCACAAACAGCCCTCATACACAGCCCACATTCATGTGTATCATACACAATACCATAAACTACTAATGAACATATACAATATAATAGCTCATTGTAACGGATCACCTGGCACCCCGACTGGGTACCTCCGTTGATGAGTGCTTCCTGAGGACTCCACGCACTGCAGCAGACACCACAACCACCAAATCGGAGAAGCATACGAATGCTCTCAAGCATATGAACGCTGTAAGCAGCTGAACAGGAAAAGCATACAATCAGCTTACAATCCTGGCAATCAGCATACAATCCAATTCCCCCAATAACGAGACGACACTTCGTTTTGAGGTCAAGCAGAACTGCCTGTACTGGCACATACAGCCTCTTTTACTCACAATCCACAAATATAGTACTGCCCACAGGGTTTTGAAACACAGCCAATCAATCCGTACAATACACACAGACATTCCCACACAAAATCCTCCTCTCTGCCTGTGATAGGATTACTGAACACAATGGTTAATCTAATTATCACAGGCAGAGAAATACAGTATTATAAAACACATCACAGGGACCCCAAAACATGCAATAACCCCATAAAATATAAAAAGTATATCACGGAACCGGGGGATCTGGGTGAACCACATATCCAAAATTCACCCAGATCCGTTCAGTACTTTGGAAGATACAGTTTAATGCAGATTCCACAGAACATATGCAGGCTAAATGAAAAACAATTACTGTATAATGTGTCCCCTGTTGTACAGTCCAAAACCACTGCACAATGTCTCTGTTCACCAAATACCGGCGAGATGGCACAGTGTTGAAAAGTCCAAACAGTGTCTGTGAGTTAAAATGGCCGCCATCCATTGTTCTCACCATGTGCTTCATCCATTGTTCTCACCATGTGCCTCTGATAAATGGTGGCCACCCAGTAACTCCACATTATGTCCCCAGATGGTTCTTTAAGGGCCAGCAGCAGCACAACAAAAATCCATTATGCCCAAATCATGTCTTTAAAGGGCAATACATCCCAGGGGCCATGGTCACATGGCAGGAGGCTGGCAATCAGTCTTCTCCAATGCCCAGTGGCGAGGTCGGTTTCGCCACACTCATATACGCACAAATACAACGATACAAAGCAATTACAGTAAAAAATAACACAAGCAGAATACGGCAGCATACACACCTCAATTTAAAAAAATAGGATCGGCAGGCTACGGGACATCACAATGCTATATCGGCACAGTGCTGCTAATAGGTTGCCTACCCCTGTCTTAGAGTATTAACAGATATACAATATGACCCTCAGTGGTGAATTGAGCATAAAAAATACCTTTACATCCATTTCAGGAGAGAAAGCTCTCAAACTTCTTTAAAACAGGTTTTGCTGAGCGTTTTAGAACTCGATCATTGGACGTTCTGCCTATTGCTACCCTTGTTCTAGAATGAAAATTGGCTCGAATTATATAGAGGGGAATATGGAGTCACTGGGATTATGGAGTTACTGGCAGGTTGTAGAGAGAGGATAATGGAGTTACTGGCAGATTATAGAGAGGGGATTATGGCATTACTGGCAGATGAGAGGAGGTTATGGAGTTACTGGTAGAGTATAGAGAGGAGATAATGGAGTCACTGGCAGATTATAGAGAGAGGATTATGGAGTTACCGGCAGATTATAGAGAGAGGATTATGGAGTTACTAGCAGATTATAGAGAGGGGATTATGGTGTTACTGGCAGATGAGAGGGGGTTATGGAGTTACTGGTAGATTATAGAGAGAGGATTATGGAGTTACTGGCAGATGAGAGGGGGTTATGGAGTTACTGGTAGATTATAGAGAGGTGGTAACGGAGTCACTGGCAGATGAGAGGGGATAATGGGGACACTGGCAGATTATACAGAAGGGATTATGGAGTCACTGGTAGAATTTAGAGAGGGGATAATGAAGTCACTGGTAGATTATAGAGAGGAGATAATATTGTCACTGGCAGATGAGAGGGGATAATGGGGTCACTGGCAGATGAGAGGGAATATTGGGGTCACTGGCAGATGAGAGGGGATAATGGGGTCACTGGCAGATGAGAGGGGATAATGGGGTCACTGGCAGATTATATAGAAGGCATTATGGAGTCACTGGGAGAATTTAGAGAGGGGATTATGGAGTCACTGGTAGAAATTAGAGAGGGGATAATGAAGTCACTGGTAGATTATAGAGAGGAGATATTGGAGTCACTGGCAGATGAGAGGGGATAATGGGGTCACTGGCAGATGAGAGGGGATAATGGTGTCACTGGCAGATGAAAGGGGATTATATGAGTCACTGGCAGATTATATAGAAGGGATTATGGAGTCACTGGGAGAATTTAGAGAGGGGATTATGGAGTCACTGGTAGAATTTAGAGAAGGGATAATGAAGTCACTGGTAGATTATAGAGAGGCGATAATGGAGTCACTGGCATATTATAGAGAGGGGATTATGGAGTCACTGGTAGAATTTAGAGAAGGGATAATGAAGTCACTGGTAGATTATAGAGAGGAGATAATGGAGTCACTGGCATATTATAGAGAGGGGATTATGGAGTCACTGGTAGATTATAGAGTGGAGATAAGGAAGCCACTAAAAACATGGAGGTAATGTAGTGACTGTCAGATTATGGTGTGGGATAATGTAGTCACGGACAGATTATTGATCATAGATAAGAAAGTGGTAGATTATGTAACTGGAGTAATTGAGTTTTTACCAGATTATGGAGCAGGGAAAAAGGAGTCATTAACAGATTATGGAAAGGGAATGGTGTAGTCGCTAATAGATTATGGAGAGAGAATAACAGAATAATTGGAAGATTAAGGAACGATGATAACGGAAACACCGGAATACTAGGGAGCGGGAAGAATGGAGTCAATGGAGCCTTTGATGGATTATAAAAAATAAATTAAAAAAAAAGGTATAATGATGGCACTGACGGATTACACAGAAAAATGTATGTACTCATTGTACTCAATGACAATGGAGCAAGGACAATAGAATCACTGACCAACTGTAAAAACCTTATCGGCTGGAATTAAAATATCAGGAACAAAGAATTGCTAATGCATTGGTTTGCCTTTATAGGAACAATTAAGACCTATTTAATTCAAGCAGAGAATAAAGATAAAAGCAAATAGTATCACATCTCCTAATGACATTCTGAAAGGTCTTCCATTGGAGAGAATTCTTGCTTCGAAAATACTATTGCCAACGGAACACTAACACCTAGAAACTGGCACTATTACTATTGGAGGGCTGCCCGAAATGAAATCAGCTTACACAATGCACTAGCTCATGAAAATCCCAGATGATAGTCTTTGTTTTGATTTAAGCATAAAACAATAGCATTAAATGAAAGAAATGCATTATTTTATTTAAAAAAATGCATTACATTTATCACACGCTGTTAAATGGTAGGCCTGAAAGATCTTACAGATGATATCCTTTCTTTTTTTGCATCACACGCATGATGTATTTGCATTTTCACAAGCATATGGTGTTTGCACTTCTACACTATTTTTTTTTAAAAAAGCAATACATAATTATTGGATTGAAGACTCCAGTAAGTACCTTAACTCTTTTCCTTGTGGGTTCGTATACAGTTTGGCATCTGGAATAGCTTTCAACATCTGCTTTTGATCCAGTTCAACAGCTCTCAAGAGGTCATCACGTGCCTGGAGTTCGATTTTAACCTCTGAAAGTTCAATCTCCACACTCTGCAGAGATAATGAAACAGAAAACATTGATTCTACAGCTACTTCGATAGCGTGATAAACCATTCTCTTAAACCCAATTAAATAATGACAGCAGAACGGGAAAAAAGAGAAGTGCTTCACTTCAGTAGTCATCAAATCCCATCATATTCGTGGTTTGCTAAATGAAGACAATGCGGAAATGTTCAATCTGCTCATTTAATACGGGCTATTGAATTTTCCTTATTATTTTACACCATCGCAATAAGATAATCTGGCGGTTTGAAAAAAGTTAGAAATGTAGCTCACAAAACCAGCTGATTTATAAAAATAAATAAATACATTAAAAAAAAACAAGATCTTTAGGATATGTAGATTCGGGAGCAAGGGAGATTTTTGTCCAAATGGGTTTGTCTCAACCCTTCAAAAGAACTATATAATATAGTAAAACAATTTTTTAAAAAGCTAATATTTTTCTGACAGTTAAGTCAAAAAGTGGACCTTCTAATTTGCCAATAATTTTTCCAGCAGGACATAAAATACAGGTTTAGGTTTTACAGATCGGTATCGAATATTCCATGGATATAACAATGGATGTTTTAAGGAGCCTAACAGTGAACCTGGAATCTCTGTAAATGACAAATGAGCATTAAATAGTGGTTTAGCTACAGTAGCAGGTAGGTTATATCTATCATACCTGCAGCATTGCTATAATAAAGAAAGACATCTCTTGGATCGCAAATCCTTCTACGTTACCCATAGCTGTTACAGAGTACAATTATGAAAGGTAAACAGGAAAACACAACTTAACTAGGGCAAGATGCACCAACAAGGGGTTACCAATCCCTCCTCCCACCATTGGAAGCTGGAAGAAGCACAATTGAAAACAAACTGGGAAACATACAATTATTGAACTTTTTTTGGAACTTGTGAATTGAGAGAATGTGACGTAGATTGCAACTGCTAGCAATCTGTCAGTCTTGGAGGTGATAAATCACTTATTTGATATATTGGATGCTATTGGAGCTACCTCCAATAAGAGAAACAGGTTTTATCCAATTGTTGTAAAATTATATCACAGAGAAGCTCCACACATACTTTCATATCAAGATATACGTTCTTAGTTATAAAAAAAAAAAATGAAATAGCCTGTATGACTTTATCCCAGTTTGTGCCCATCAGTTTTCAGACAAGATGATGTGGTTTAAAGACAGAGCAGAGAATGTGTTAACTGCTGTAATGTAGTATTTGTTTTGTATTAAGGCACAGTTCCAGATAATGCCATAACCATATATATGATAAATTGTTATTTGACTTGGGAGATCTACAGGCAATGGTTGTTGTGATGTGATCTATCATTTCTGTACCTGGCATCGCTTCTGACAGTGCTTTAGTTCCTGAAAGAGCTTTTGATTTTCATCTTTCAGCGAGTTTCTACCTAATGTGATTTCCTTTACAGTAGACTTGAGATTTTCAATGATGACCCTGTCACTTCTTATTGTCTCCTGAGAAACATCAAGCTGGCACCTCAATCTTCTGATTTCAGCCTGGTTATTGGTAATTGCCTCGTCTTGCAGCTGTGTCCTACTCGAAAGCTGTTCCTGATAGCTTTGCGACTGCTTCTACAGAACACAAAAACACATAAAATCGCAATTATACATTGTGTTATTTATAGTGGGGAAAGTAATGAGATCCTGAGAACCAATTAGAGAAATGAAGCCGCCAAACTGTTTCTGCTCACTAGGCTGGAATAATTATTGGGTACCACGGTACGTTGGAGAGTAAATATGGAGAGATGAAAGCCAAGGGGAGAGGTCTCCATTAAGTCATCGAACAAATTCTTTAATGGAAATGCTCTCTTGTATTTCTGTGTTCTGAAATCTCATTTTAAATTGGAGATCATCCAACAAAAACCTAAATTAAATGAAGTATAAAAGGAATCCAATTTTCATATCTCTGTAGCAGCAAAAACAGAATTAAGTCAAGAGCGTTACCAAAGTCTACAGTGTCTGGCTAAACGGTTTTTAAATGTAATTGGTTAAGAGTACATTTCATCGGTTCTTCTCTCTTAATTTTTGTATTTTTTTTTTTTAAATTAAGAAAATAAAAATAATAATCATCTTCAACAAGGAAACAATGGTAAAAATAGAACTTTGTTGTATAATATAGTGTTTGCAGGGACATACATTTCACATAGAGATAAGAAGATATTTCTATTTCAAAAAGAACAGATACCATAGTCACTAACTTAAAATTAGATAGATAGATGGATCAATAGATAGTCATTCACAAGTCCACAATTAGCTAGATCTATTTTTGGCAAGCAATGGTGCTACATCCGTAATACAAAAGACAAAACCGCTAGTCAATGGATGTGGATTTGTAAGCACAAAGTGCGTTATGAATGTTTAGACAAACTCAATCACATGTACATTCATGTATATTTTGTATATTAATCTGACACAGTGAAGCAGATCACGGTCAGCAAGCGCAAGTGACAAAGCACTCCAAGTGTGTTCCTACTGATGGCCGAGTTCAACAAGTGATACCAAATCTATGACTATGGAAGCCACCAATAAATAGGAGTGTCTGTAAAATGACATGTCCATGTAGTGTTTGGCGTGTGTGCCAACGCCATATTGTGAATGAAATCTAAATTTTAATTTTGGAAACTATAAAAAAAAAAAAAACTATTGGATTTTATTGTTTAAAGCACTCCCATATATTATTTCATCAGAGGTGCAATTTGATGTAAGTAGCTGGCCACCTTGCTGAACAAACTCCCATAAATCACAGCCTATCTGGGTAAGGATCATGGTAAACTCCAACTATAGTGTTGGAGAGCGATCTGGTTCCTACAAAAATGAAACAAAATTGATTTACAGTTAACTTTGTCAAGGTTACGATAATTACCATTAAGATATAAGAATAAAAGAAAACACGTCTTGTTTGCATTGTCAGCAATCTATTCAAACAATATGCAGGTAAAGCTAAGAGCATGTTACATCCCATGCCAGGAATTGGACTCACCACATTGATGAAGCTGTTAATTCAATGTCGTGGCTGTAAACTTTCAATAAATGAAATGATTCTGAAAACCTTTGATAAATGCTTTAACCGTTGGAATTCCAACAGGGATTCAAATATACAAAACGCTACATGTGCAAAGGCATGTTTGGGCATTTGAACTTAGACCCAGAGAGACTGATAACGCCTTTCCTGACACGTCAGTAAGGCGAGAGGGACAGAATTCATAGACAATCTGCTGCCTGGATCTGTAATTCCAATCAAACAGCCATAACAGAAAGGAATACTATTGGGCCATATGGAGATATAACCATTACGGCTTTACAGGCCCAAAAACATTGCTCTCCTTAGCAGATGGGCAGATTATGTTTGAAAGCATGTGTAACGTGACTGCTGATTTGTAGTTTGAGAAAGTCAGCAGCATTATTCAGCTTTTATTCACTTTTTTTTTTTTATTTCTATCAACTCATGAAAACTTTATCTTCTCTTTAATTGTCTAATTCTGACAGTTTGGCTGATTGCCTTTAGAGAGGCCAATAAATTACTATTGGGCTGATAGAAAAAAAATCAACTGACTGACAATTGTTTATCATTCCCAGACTAGAGGTTTATAAAGGCCAATCATCACATGTTCTGAAAGCCGAGCAATGTGACCAAATCCGACCACATTTAAGTGCAAAACATGGAGAGTTTCGCAACTCCTGGGTTCAAACGCTATTCTAAGAAGCACCCTTCCTTTTTCATCATTAATAAAGGCTGAGAGCATCGGAGTATGACAGGATGCCACGATCTCTTAGTTATCAAGGTTTCTTCCCATCTCTGGGTTCTAAAATATTACATAGCTGCACCAGAAGGCAGTCAACCTACTAGGACTTTGGTCCGGTAGTTCTAGTGGAAATGTCCATTCTATGGCAAGCTCACGAAACAGCCCTGTGGGGGCATTTAATATTAAATGCAACAAATTCAAAACACACAAACTACGATCACTACAATTCCGACTATCAGACTGGCAGTACAATATAAATGGAATTCCACGTTGGAAATCCACACAAAAGTTTAACTGACATAAAGGCAAAGATTGAGACTATTCAACTGGCTAAAATGGAATACATGCTGGGACACACATATTGTCTTATATTACACAGAGTGGAGCAAAGCCAGTAGATTATTGGCAAATAAATTATGGAAAAAGCTAGCTAATCAAATTATCACATACCAGATAGATGAGAATAGAAGGCAGGTATATGACCTTCAAAATATGGCCAATACTTGTGCACAAATTTATAAAAAACTTATATAATGTAAAGGATAACGCGAACACCGCATAGCCATATATATTTTTTGTAATACAGTTACACAAAACAAATATAAAGATATATATATATATATATATATAGTGTTCAAGGAGAGATTGTAGCTGTATTAATCCAGTGATGTAGATGTAAAAAACAGATACAATTTGTATCTTGTAATACCTTTTTTATTGGACTAACATAATTTTTTAAATGACAAGCTTTCTGGAGAACCTCCCTTTCTCAAGTCTGAAGCATGTCTTTTATTTATTTTTTTTTTAATTCTTTTTTTTGCAGTGCATAGGATAGTTACACACAAGCCTGAGGTACCCCAAAGGTGAACTTTTGCGTGAACTTAGGTAGAGTTGAGTCAATCAAGAATTTGTTTGTAAGAGTTGTTTAAACATGGTCTATCATAGCCTATTATAAGTAGTGTGAAACTCGCTAGTACTTGTCTGTTACCATATTAGAGTCTTGTACATGCTTAACATAGCTATGGACAGGGGTATATCGCAACATTTAAGAATGTGTTAGCCTAAGTATCTCAGACCAGGCGAATCAGGTGTGGGGTTCAGCTGCTACATGTTAGGTGAGGTATACATATCACTTATAAAAACAAGATATAAACATTGCTTTGTTGCACTCTATATATGGTAAGATGTATGAAACCTGTCTAGTCAGGTCCACCTGGCTGCCATTCATAATACTGGCTAGTTGCAAGAATCATATAATGTGATGTTAGCATGCCAAGCGACCGACCTGCAAAATACAAGATGGCCAACGGCACTACTCCCCACACGGAGAAATCAACACCCAGTGTCTGGTATATATTCCTGGTATACGGTATATAGTGAATCAACTTGGACCCTATGGCCCCAAATCCTATGGGAGCTGACACACAGCTAGATTACGATAAGGACAGCGTTGCTTTCCTTGTTATTGCATACTTAATGTTATGTTTGCTTTCTCCACCTAAACGGTGGCCTTGATTTATTTATTTTTCTTGTCATTTTCATGTATTTTAAATGATAATTTTATGGTATTTTTAACACAAAAATATTAAATCAAGGCCATAATATTCCCTATGTAACATAATTATATATTAGTAGGATTGTTTGTTTAAAGACTCAATATTAATCAGTGAAATCAAAGAATTTATGAAATGTCTATAGCTCATTTATCAGATTTAGCCATATTTCCCTAGACAATATATCTGATCTGTTATGATAGAGCTTCATCAATAGTTCTGGCAAACCTGGCTCATAAAACTGTGAACTGGGCTGTGTATATATGAAAAGCCACACTATTGCTGCTAATGTTAGCATTATGAGCAGTTCCACTACCTGATAATTGGAACTGTGGCTGGGGAATAAAACTATTTCACACAGTGAATCAGATGCGTCTGATTGCTGGAGCCATTTCCTGATCAGAAAGGATGAGCCTGCATTTCATGTAACAGTCTTAGAAACATTAAAAATATAAGAAAAACATTAGCTTTTTTTAATGAGCTAGTTCAATAATGCATTAATAAGGTAAACATTTTGGACATTTGTGTTCCTTTATCTGCCAATACGCAGGGAAGAGGAAATGGCTCTTTGACCTGTCTGATGATGTGAGTGCCACTTGAATTCATAAATAAGTTAAATTATAGCTAAATAACACTTATACCACCAGAATAAAAATCTGTTTTTACAGATTGCAAAAACTAAACGCCTGCACAAGATCTAGGCAGGCTTTTCTGATACTATATGATAATAAAAAATATTAATTTCTGATGGTAGAACCACTTTAACAAGAGCTGGCAATATGCAATGCACTTATGTAGGTTCAACAGAGCAACAAAAAGGAAGTTAAAGCTTACCTGATAGAGTTCACATTTTTCTGTCAGAGTTTTCCTCTGTTCGCTCAAAGACTTCAAATGGTTCTGATATAACACTCTCTGGTTTTCCCACTCTTTTGATCTGACTTTAAATTCCTGTGAAATGAAAAACACAGCAAACGATATTTCGATATTGTGGAAACACGACAATTAGGAACAAATATTCTATATCACGACTAACAGGTAAAACATTTACACAGAAACATCGAGGAGACAAACAGCACAGAAATATATTTGTAAAAATCATAAATCGTGTGATTAACCCCTTAAGGACCAAACTTCTGGAATAAAAGGGAATCATGACATGTCACACATGCCATGTGTCCTTAAGGGGTTAAGGAAAAATAGAACAGAAGTCCATGCACTCTCAGGATACAAAAAGGCAATTTTATTGAATCTATTGCTACTCACAACGTTTCGACCTACGCGGTCTTTGTGGCAGTGGGTTCAATAAAATTGCCTTTTTGTATCCTGAGAGTGCCTGGACTTCTCTTCTATTTTCCCTCATCAAGTATTTGGTTCCTGGTACTGGGACTGGTCTGGTGCTCCCGGATACATTTCAAATGGGACTTAGTGCAGTTCCACATTCCGGCTATACTAAATCGTGTGATTAAAACATGTGTGGTGACCCCAGCCAAGCTGTAATACTGGCCAAGGGAACTGCAGTGATTATGGTGTCGGCTGGAGTGCTTGGAAGTACTCGGAGTTACTAGGAAGCAGTGATTGGTGGAGGCACCAAGTCGGGGTGCCAGGCGGCCCGCCACAGCGTGTATGTCACAGTTTGAACACAAAATGGAGATACCGTGTTCTAGACAATAAATACCTCAGGAATTAGGACTAATTACAATAATTTACTTTTTACAATTAAAAAAACAAACAAATATAGAAACATAGAATGTGACGGCAGATAAGAACCATTCGGCACATCTAGTCTGCCAAATTTTCTAAATACTTTCATTAGTCCCTGGCCTTATCTTTTAGCTAGGATAGCCTTATGCCTATCCCACACATGCTTATAGGGACACTATAGTCACAAAAATAACTTTAGCTTAATGAAGCTGTTTTGGTGTATAGATCATGTCCCTTCCATCTCACTGCTCAATTCTCTGTTATTTAGGAACTAAAACACTTTGTTTATGCACCCGAGTCACACCTCCCTGCATTTGACTTACACAGCCTCCCTAAACACTTCCTGTTAAGAGGCATCTAATGTTCATACTTCCTTTATTGCAAATTGTGTTTACTTTAAAATGTCTTATCACCTGCAATGTTAATAGCTTGCTAGACCCTGTCAGAGCCTCCTGTATGTGATTAAAGTTCAATTTAGAGAGCAGGAGATACAAACTTTTAAAGTAAGTTACATCTGAACTGAAAGTAAAACCATTTTTTTCATGCAGGTTGTGTGTCACAGCCAGGGGAGGTGTGGCTAGGGCTGCATAGACAGAAATAAAAGTGATTTAACTCCTAAATGATAATGAATTGAGCACTGAAACTTCAAGGGCATGATCTATACACCAAAAGTGCTCTATTAAGCTAAAGTTGTTTTGGTGACTATAGTGTCCCTTTAAACTACCTCACTGTGTTAACCTCTATCACTTCAGCTGGAAGGCTATTCCATGCATCCACTACCCTCTCAGTAAAGTAATACTTCCTGATTTTATTTTTAAACCTTTGTCCCTCTAATTTAAGACTGTGTCCTCTTGTTTTGGTAGTTTTTCTTCTTTTAAATATAGTCTCCTCTTTTACTGTGTTGATTCCCTTTATGTATTTAAATGTTTCTATCATGTACCCCCTGTCTCGTCTTTCCTCCAAGCTATACATGTTAAGATCAACATATAATCAACCTTAAAGCATATTTAAACATCACTCTACACATAAAATTACTATAAGTGATGTGACTTCTATTCATGGATAACAATCTTTTCACAGTTCGCTTAACATTTGCTCAACCCATAAAACATCAATGGACAATCTCCAGACTACCAGAAACACTTTTTTTGTCTAATGAATATATAAAACAGCAGCATGAATGAATAAATAAATAAAATACTCTACTCTGAATGTACTTATTTAACACATTTTACAAGAGATTATCAGGGATCAGGGAGTGACTAAAAATCTACTTTAACATTTTAAATGAAACTTTCATTTATGGCGTGTGCGTGGAGATTAGACCAGAGTGTGCGGCCATTCCAGAACATGGATGTTATATGTGACTTAATATCAATGTGTATACTCAAAGTGGCTTCCTGTAATGAATGGTGAGGTTGCTCGTGCATTCATACCCATTGACGTTGAAGGCATTCTGTAATTCCTACACATAGAGGATACCTCTGTGTCAGTAGGAGGCCGTAAAGCTATTTGCACAGATACATCTATCCTATTTGAAATAACTTTATCTATACAACTGCTAACATTTATTTATTTAGAATTGCCATTTTTTCACTCCCCCGCTCCCACACCTTTTGAGAAACCCAGCTATTCCAGGGCCTCTTTCAGTCACCATTAAAAATCCTTATGATTTGATGAAGTGATTGCAATCTGAAAGTATAATGGGGTAAAATTGCCATCACTAAATCTATTCAATAAAACTGTAGACACAACAGGTCTTAAATCTCAGAGGCCACTTATCAGCAGAAATAAACACAGAATTCTTAATAAGAACATACAATGTCTTTGCTTTAAGTACGTGAATTTTTGTGCTCTCTGTGGCCTGACGGGAATGAATCCCTGTGTATATGAACCCCAGGCTTCCACAGACTGAACGGCTGACATTTGCACATTAATAGTTGTGAGAGCTCCCAGGTCAGTGTATACTTACAATGCTTTTTACCTGACTTGTTACAGTTGGGAGAAGGCCCATTTCTGTGGTTAAATTGAAACATAAAACGTTTCATTATCTCCGGGGGAAAATGCTTTAGTTTTATTATGATAACAATTATAGCAACATCTTGAAGCAAGCTATGCGTGAAAGGCAATACTGGTTCATATACACTGAACAAAAGAGACCTTTTATTGTGGCCAGCCTAAGGCACACCTTTGCAATAATCATGCTGTCTAATCAGCATTTTGAAATGCCACACCTGTGAGGTGGATGGATTATCTCGGCAAAGTAGAAGTGCTGACTAACACAGATTTGTGAACAATATTTGAGAGAAATAGGCCTTTTGTGTACATAGAAAAAGTCTTAGTTCAGCTCATGAAAAATGAGGGCAAAAACAAAAGTGTTGCGTTTATAATTTTGTTCAGTGTAGTAAGCCAATGTTTGTACACGACACACTAAGCAGAAAAATCACTAAAGCCTGTTGTAGTGGTTATGGTGCTGGGAGTATTCTGGCTCTGGCCCACTGTTAAAAGTCAAGCTGTTTTAGAATAGTTTGCCACTTATTCGAGTCTTGCTGACCCACCTAACAGATTTCACTAAAGCTGAAATTCACTATGCGCATTAAATACATCAGTTTTTTATAGACAGAAAATTATTAGTTGAAACGGCCAATGACATTCCTTGGCTACTGAATTACGTCCAAACACGGAGAGTGCGCAGACCAGGCTGCCAAATGTCAGTTACTTCCTGATTCTTACAGTGACTGCAGGTTTGTAGCAAACAAGAGAAATTCAGAGGGATGTCATATATATATATATATATATATATATATATATATATATATATATATATAAAATTTATTTTTTTCTTCTTCAATATTTTACTTCAATAAAACATTAACATAGGACTGTTACACCCGTGTAAGGAACCTTATTCCCTCTGCCCTGTTACTGCTAGCAGGGCCGCCATCAGGGGATGTCAGGGGGATGCCCGGGCCCCACGTGTAGCAGCGGAACTGCCGCCGGTACACCTACACTGGGGTCTGCACGCTGATAGGGCCCATCGGGTGGCCCAAGCATTTAGGGCCACCTGATGGGCCCTATATCTTCAGAGGCCCAGTCAGCGCAGCGGCCGGGACCCTTTGAAAAAAAAATTAAAAAAAATATGTGTCTGTGTGTGTGTGTATGTATGTGTATGTATGTCTGTATCTATCTGTATGTATGTCGGTATATGTCTGTCTGTCTGTGTCTATGTGTATGTATATATGTATGTATGTCAGTATGTGTCTGCATGTGTATGTATGCATCTGTATGTGTGTATGTCAGTATGTGTGTCTGTATGTAAAATACATGAATGTACAGCTCATTAAGTTAACAACACTCTTACCTCAAGCTTCTGCATTAACCACTGGATCTCAGTTTGACTCGCCTTGGCCCCTGGACATGGCTCTGCATTTTTATCCCGTGGGTTCTTTGAGTTGCAGAAATTGAGCTTTTCATAGCTTTTTTTCAATTTACAAAGCTATAAAAAGTCACAAAACAGATTAGAATATTTCTAGCGGTTTGTCTCAATCAACAAGGGCAACAGTGCACAATAATTTTGTCTTGAAGTGAATGAGCTTGTTTGAATAATAATAATAATAATAATAAAAATAGATGAGCCAATAGTATTTCCAATAATAAAAAGGCACGCTAACTATCACAGCCCGTGGTTACAGCGCCAATCAATTTGGATTGAACTTCATTAAATGAGGACAGTCAGCTGACATAACTTGATGTGGACAAAACTTTACTAAAAACTTACTTCGCCCAAATATGGACAACATTTACTAATACAGAAGGGGAACCTCCACTTTAGTGATATTTGTGAAGAGGATCAGGAACACAGGGACCATGGCATGTGTCAAATCATTCTAAAACAGTGGTCGTGATCCTCACAGTGCCCCTCTAATTTTCTTTTAAATCTAACTGGCACTGTTACCTTGATTCACACTTCAGCAGAAATTCACTGGAATTGTAAGACAATCAGAAGATATTCATGGGAGAAATGAATAGCCACTGAAAATTAGGAGAATGTTGCTAAAGACAAGGTTTAAACTAGGGAATATTTTGTAACAGCACAGAAGGCCATTATTGCCATTTTATTATTGAAACCAAGAACCTCAGAACAAACTATTTTACTACTTAACATCTGAACCTTCTAGCAGTTTTTAATTGTACGTTTTAGATATGTGGTATTCTAAATCATTATAAATAAACAGAATAGTTAATCAAATAGTGTTGCCGCATGTTGAATGTTATATCAGGGCGCCATCTAGTGGCAGTAAAGCATATGGCAGATTACTGGCAATTAGTGCAGAACACAAGTGATGAGCATCATTTAACCAAAGCACATCTGCTCAGTAGCTGGCCTGCAGCATTTTGCACTGCAGATCAAGTCATTTTTCTTCTCCAAGCCCCAGACGTTATACGAGTCCAGGAGTGAAGAATGACTCAAGATGTATTAATGCTGGGGAAATCAGAGGAAACATTTACTAAATACTAGAATTGTGCAAAATAGTTTAAGCCGGTTCATCCAAATAAAATTCCTGGTAACTGTTGAATGAATCAATTCCGAGTTGTTTTACCCGTGGCTTAATCTGTACATGTAGCTCAGTTCCAAGATTTAGAAATTATTTGTTCTGTATTGGTTAACAGGAATTTAATTCAGAAAAATAATGCATAACAATTTTTGACCAAGTCTGTTACATACCTAATTTTAGTGAATCAAAAACGGAACTGCAAAATTGGAAGAAAAAAAAAAAGTCCAAATATGCTCTGGTCATATAGTTAAGTGGTTTTTAGTCGCTAAATTCTGACATTTAGTACTTTAGCAATTGTTAGTTGGGAAGCAGTGATAATATTTTTAAACGTTCATACCTTCTATTGTCGGGAGATACCGCTGCTGGATATCAATTTGGTCATCATTTCTATTACCTATCTGTCCATCACAGGTATAACTGTGGTCTATGCACAGAAGGGGAACATACAGTTGGCTGAGCACAATTAGAAGAAAATGGCCACATCAGGATCTCGATTACTGGCCAATGACTCACGTCTAGCCTTTTCTATATAGAACCTGAATTTAGACATGTCACATATTCTGTAGATTATCAGACAGCAGCACAGCAGAATTAGTGGGGATGGCAATGTATGTGTACATTTAAAAGAAATCTAACAGATAATAATGAAATCTGCATTGAACATAGGGCCTACCTGGTATTTCAGTGCTTGTAGTTGCTTCTCGTATTTCTGCACCTTTTCACGTTCAGCGTGATCCGCTTGTTCCAGCTTCTTGCAGAGCATTTTAATCTAAAAAACACATTCAGGGTAAACAAACATATCTAATTTTTGCTTGGTTTATCAATGTCCATGTATCAAAGTTATTGGTCCATATACTGCAATATGATGTATGCATTGTGTCAGCCATTAATTACAGATGTAGTGAAATATTCAACACTGCCAGGATTAGAGCCTAAAGTAAATGAACCCTCCTGCAACTTTTCCAGTCATAGGAAAGAATCCAGCTATCTAGGAAATATAGCTATATGTCACAGGATAGAACTCGAGGGAGTATAGCGATCTGTCACAGGATAGAGGCCAAGGGAGTATAGCTATCTGTCACAGGATAGAGGCAGAGGGAGTATAGCTATCTGTCACAGGATAGAGCTCGAGGGAGTATAGCTATCTGTCACAGGATAGAGGGCAAGGGAGTATAGCTATCTGTCACAGGAAAGAGACCATGTTAGTATAGCTATCTGTCACAGGAAAGAGACCATGTTAGTATAGCTATCTGTCACAGGAAAGAGACCATGGGAGTATAGCTATCTGTCACTGGATAGAGGCCGAGGGAGTATAGCTATCTGTCACAGGATAGAGACCATGGGAGTATAGCTGTCTGTCACAGGAAAGAGACCATGGGAGTATAGCTGTCAGTCACAGGATAGAGGCCGAGGGAGTATAGCGATCTGTCACAGGATAGAGGCCAAGGGAGTATAGCTATCTGTCACAGGATAGAGGCAGAGTGAGTATAGCGATCTGTCACAGGATAGAGGTAATGGGAGTATAGCTATCTGTCACAGGATAGAGGCCATGGGAGTATAGCTATCTGTCACAGGATATAGGCAGAGAGAGTATAGCTATCTGTCACAGGATAGAGGCCCAGGGAGCATAGCTGTTACAGGATAGAGGCCCAGGGAGTATAGCTATCTGTCACAGGAAAGAGGCCATGGGTGTATAGCAATCTGTCACAGGAAAGAGACCATGGGGGTATAGCTATCTGTCACGGGATAGAGGCCCAGGGAGTATAGCTATCTGTCACAAGATAGAGGCCATGGGAGTATAGCGATCTGTCACAGGATAGAGGCCACAGGATAGAGGCCAAGGGAGTATAGCTATCTGTCACAGGATAGAGGCAGAGGGAGTATAGCGATCTGTCACAGGATAGAGGCCATGGGAGTATAGCTATCTGTCACAGGATAGAGGCCATGGGAGTATAGCTATCTGTCACAGGATAGAGGCCATGGGAGTATAGCTATCTGTCACAGGATAGAGGCCCAGAGAGCATAGCTGTCCCGGGATAGAGGCCCAGGGAGTATAGCTATCTGTCACAGGAAAGAGGCTATGGGTGTATAGCAATCTGTCCCAGGATAGAGACCATGGGAGTATAGCTATCTGTCACAGGATAGAGACCATAGCTATCTGTCACAGGATAGAGACCATAGGAGTATAGCTATCTGTCACAGGATAGAGACCATAGCTATCTGTCACAGGATAGAGGCCCAGGGAGCATAGCTGTCACGGGATAGAGGCCCAGGGAGTATAGCTATCTGTCACAAGATAGAGGCCATGGGAGAATAGCTATCTGTCACAGGATAGAGACCATAGGAGTATAGCTATCTGTCACAGGATAGAGACCATGGGAGTATAGCTATCTGTCACAGGATAGAGACCATAGCTATCTGTCACAGAATAGAGACCATGGGAGTATAGCTATCTGTCTCAGGATAGAGACCATGGGAGTATAGCTATCTGTCCCAGGATAGAGACCATGGGAGTATAGCTATCTGTCACAGGATAGAGACCATGGGAGTATAGCAATCTGTCACAGGATAGAGACCATGGGAGTATAGCAATCTGTCACAGGCTAGAGGCCCAGGGAGTATAGCTATCTGTCACGGGATAGAGGCCCAGGGAGTATAGCTATCTGTCACAAGATAGAGGCCATGGGAGTATAGCTATCTGTCACGGGATAGAGGCACGGGCAGTATAGCTATCGGTCACAGGATAGAGGCCAAGGGAGTATAGCTATCGGTCACAGGATAGAGGTCGAGGGAGTATAGCTATCTGTCACAGGATAGAGGTCGAGGGAGTATAGCTATCTGTCACAGGATAGAGGCCATGGGAGTATAGCTATCTGTCACAGGATAGAGGCCCAGGGAGCATAGCTGTCATGGGATAGAGGGCCCAGGGAGTATAGCTATCTGTCACAGGAAAGAGGCTATGGGTGTATAGCAATCTGTCCCAGGATAGAGACCATGGGAGTATAGCTATCTGTCACGGGATAGAGGCCCAGGGAGTATAGCTATCTGTCACAAGATAGAGGCCATGGGAGTATAGCTATCTGTCACAGGATAGAGACCATAGGAGTATAGCTATCAGTCACAGGATAGAGACCATAGCTATCTGTCACAGGATAGAGACCATGGGAGTATAGCTATCTGTCGCAGGATAGAGGCCATGGGAGTATAGCTATCTGTCACAAGATAGAGGCCATGGGAGTATAGCTATCTGTCACGGGATAGAGGCACAGGCAGTATAGCTATCTGTCACAGGATAGAGGCCAAGGGAGTATAGCTATCGGTCACAGGATAGAGGCCGAGGGAGTATAGCTATCTGTCACAGGATAGAGGCCATGGGAGTAAAGCTATCTGTCACAGGATAGAGGCCCAGGGAGCATAGCTGTCACGGGATAGAGGGCCCAGGGAGTATAGCTATCTGTCACAGGAAAGAGGCTATGGGTGTATAGCAATCTGTCCCAGGATAGAGACCATGGGAGTATAGCTATCTGTCACGGGATAGAGGCCCAGGGAGTATAGCTATCTGTCACAAGATAGAGGCCATGGGAGTATAGCTATCTGTCACAGGATAGAGACCATAGGAGTATAGCTATCAGTCACAGGATAGAGACCATAGCTATCTGTCACAGGATAGAGACCATGGGAGTATAGCTATCTGTCGCAGGATAGAGGCCATGGGAGTATAGCTATCTGTCACAAGATAGAGGCCATGGGAGTATAGCTATCTGTCACGGGATAGAGGCACAGGCAGTATAGCTATCTGTCACAGGATAGAGGTCGAGGGAGTATAGCTATCTGTCACAGGATAGAGGCCATGGGAGTATAGCTATCTGTCACAGGATAGAGGTCATGGGAGTATAGCTATCTGTCACAGGATAGAGACCATGGGAGTATAGCTATCTGTCACAGGATAGAGGCCATGGGAGTATAGCTATCTGTCACAGGATAGAGGCCATGGTAGTACAGCTTTCTGTCACAGGATAGAGGCCATGGGAGTATAAATATCTGTCACAGGATAGAGGCCATGGTAGTACAGCTTTCTGTCACAGGATAGAGGCCATGGGAGTATAGCTATCTGTCACAGGATAGTGACTATGGGAGTATAGCTATCTGTCACAGGATAGAAGCCATGGGAGTATAGCTATCTGTCACAGGATAGAGACCGAGGGAGTATAGCTATCTGTCACAGGACAGAGGCCAAGGGAGTATAGCTATCTGTCACAGGATAGACGTCATGGGAGTATAGCTATCTGTCACAGGATAGAGACCATGGGAGTATAGCTATCTGTCACAGGATAGAGACCGAGGGAGTATAGCTATCTGTCACAAGATAGAGACCGAGGGAGTATAGCTATCTGTCACAGGATAGAGACCGAGGGAGTATAGCTATCTGTAATGGACAAAGTGCTGATTCAGTATATCTATCATGTGGCATGGGGGTGGGGTAATAGGTATTGGACAGAGAGACATTCAGCAACACTGACACAATAACCATGATATAGCACACACTTTTAGAACCAGGAAGAACATACAGACTTTAAAAATAAAATATAGGAAGGTTTACTGAATAGAATTAAATGAGGTTTGCTGCAAAATGTTAGCTTGATCATAGCAATTTACAGAGGTATGTGGCTTTTAAATACCTCACATGTCTTTTCATCCAATGCGTTTCTCGCTTCAGATAGCTCCTTATCCTGGGCCTGGATTCTTTGCTCCAGGACAATGACTTGCTGCTCCCATTCCACCTTCTTGCTATTCACCATAATGTCAATCTGGTGCATAAGTTCCTCCAACTCATTTTCACAAGACACATCCCTTGAAAAGCAAGAATCAGAGATTGGAAAATTATGGAATGTCACAAAGTGCCTTCATCAGATCTCCTCCTAGATAGCACTATAAGTGATAGTTCTGTACACTAGTGGCTTTATTGTACTAAACCAGGAACTGGGGGAATTGAAAAGAGAATTTTAAGGTTTAGATCAAACCAGTCGAATTGGCTTTTTCCTATATAAAGCAGTTTGACCTATAATTTGCACATATTCACAAGGTGTTATGTGCAAAATGTGGGAAAATAAGTAGGAACATTCTGTTGGTTTCCAAGGCGATCAGAACACATTTCAAATTTTGACGGACAGGGAATAAAATAGGTCTAATATTACTTTTAAAAAGTCATCTATAAAAGTCAGCAGTCATAAATTATGCACTCACCTGATTGGTAGGCAGCACTGGAATCCAGGGCGCTGTTGGTTCATTTCAGTCTCTTTTTGCATTTCCTAATTTGATGAAAAAAAAAGAAAAGAAATAATTAAACCGGATTTAGGGAAATTTAAAGAAGGCAATCATGTATAAAAACGACAAGTTAGTTACACAAATTTCTTACTTTTAGATTTGTGAGATTTAAAATGTTATAGTACAAAAGTGAAAGTTATTCATTTTTTTTAAATTCATAGTCAGGTCACAATACAGACAGTACAGCTACAAAAAATATTTTTCTTCAACTTTCATTAAAATACAAAAGGGGGAGGGGGCACGGCTAACCGCCGGGCAAGATGGCAGCTTAAGATTTTGCTCCGGCACATGGGATCCGCATTTAGATGAAATAACCGAGCAGAAACGCTACAAAACGAAGCCCAAAAGATGTCACAGGCTAAGGGGAAGAAAGCGGCACCCAAAGCTGACAAAAATAACTTCTTTGGACACAAACCACTTGCTGCAACAGAAACTGTGCAGGCCATGCTTGCCGCCGCGCAAGATGGCGCCGACAGCCCGGACGCAGGCTCTCCCTTGACACTGCGGGACGAGACCCCACAGACTGGACTCCTCACAATAACGCACTTTGAACGGGCAATGGAAGCAATGTCAGCAAAACTAATACGAACCTGGTAATCCACGGCCGACCAAATAAAAAACGAAGTCAGAGAGCTCTCCAACAGAACATCCTCAGTGGAAAATGACTGCCAGGATCTAAAAACCGCACAAACCGAAATCTCGGAAAACTTACTCACCTTACAGCAAAAAATGGAGGCCATGGAAAGTAAAATGGCGGACTATGAGGACAGGGCTCGGAGGAATAACCTAAGGCTGAGAGGGGTTCCAGAATCGGTCCAACCAGATGACCTACAACTGTACGTCAGGGGCCTAATGCACGCCTATGCCCCAGACATCCCCTCAGACATGCTGCTGGTCGACAGAGTCCACAGGGTCCCCAAACCGAAGCATCTACCGGACACCGTGCCACGTGACGTTTTACTCAGAGCACACTACTACCACATTAAAGAACTCGTGCTCCGGGCCCACCGCAACAAACAAGAGCCGCACGATGAAAATCCGTCAGTGCAAATCATGGCGGACTTATCAGCCGCAACGCTGAGGAGGAGAAGGGACTTTCAGCAAGTCACAACGGAATTAAGGGACCGAGGCATCCGCTACAGATGGGGCTTCCCCACAAAGCTTATACTGACGAGGAATGGAGAAACGAAACTCTTCTCACGGCCAGAAGACGCCATGAACGAACTGGCGAGATAGAGCCCGCGCAACAGAGTGCCCCACCTGCATCCTCAGCCCACAGCCGCAAATCCACGCGAACTGACCGAATGAACTAACTGCTAAAAATCTATATTATGGCGCAAGTATACTGCTATTGCTGTTATTTAATATTCTTAACTTTTGTTGTTTCACATGTTGCTTTTGATGTTAAGCATGTATATACAATTTAGATGTCGCCACCACCACCACACACAACTGGGCTACGGCACGCCGTATCCGAGTAGCGACATATACAGCAGGTAACCACCAGCTGACACCACTGGCAGGGACGACGGCCCTATGCCTGACACACACACCTGCTCCCCCTCCAGAAGCGGGAGATACGAGAACGGCCACACGCCAGCCCCCACCATCAAGGGTACACCAGGAGGGGGCGTCCCCCCTGCCGACATCACACAGTCCGACAAGTCCCCAGATATAGTGACACATACGGAGATGGAGGGGTGAATGCCTACCCGCACACAGGCAACCGACCTCACAACGCAACATGACTGCACAAGGCAGCGCTTCACAACACACGGTACAGCGCACCACAACAACACGATGTTACTTACGGCTACACATACCCCACACCTACTGGCATCTCTAATCCAGGCCGACTCCCTGTACACGATGACCCGCACTGAACCACAGAGAAGTCGCTGCACTGAGTGACCCACAGACACTTATCACGGCGCTGTTACGCACGAGCACAGAAAAATTACATAGACAATATATCTGACACAACACACACAGTTACATATTAAAGGTTTCAAATGTTTACAAGTTATTGACGTCTCGGACATTGCATTGTTACAAGTCATACTGAAATGTGATACCTTGCATAGCACAACTGTCCGATACGATGATGTTCCCCCCACCCTATACAACTATTGCTCATGCCAACATGATCGTCTGCTCTACCCTAGTTCGCAAGCGGATCCCGCAAGCCACCCATTTGGATTACTACTACTCCAATCCCCCACGGTACGACTAGCGTACCAGACCCAAATAGGTCGTTGTACATACTACCTCACCCTTCCTGCAGTCCTTTTATTCAAAACCCGCACCACCCTATCCTCTCCCAACTGCACCCCAAACCCCCCCCCAGTGACGATTAGCTCACACACAAACCTACCACATCCTCTGAACCCATAAACATGCCACACATGAAACTTTACTCCCACAACACCAAGGGGCTGAACACGCCACACAAACGGAGACTGCTACTACAAGATTTGAAAAGTCATAAAGCAGACATAGTATGTCTCCAAGAGACGCACTTTGCCACCAACAGAATCCCCACATTCGCTCTCCAAGACTACCCCACTCAATACCATACTACCCACTCCTCAAAATCACGAGGAGTCTCTATTCTCTTACATAAGTCATTAACTACGGAAATACTCCACGTTAAAAAAGACAGCCAAGGTCGGTTCCTGATCCTACACTGTATACTGAACAACCTACCATTCTTGCTGGTGTGCCTATACAGCCCAAACGACCAACAAAGAAACTTCCTACATAAAATCCTCGCCAAATTCGACGAACACGCCTATAGTTATCTGCGGAGATTTTAACCACACCATGAACTCCCACATGGACTCCACAGTAAAGGCCGACTCCGCTAGGCACGCTAACTTAAAGACGGCGAACAAAGCCTTCACGAAACTGATCCACGAATACGGACTATACGACACCTGGAGAACACGCAACCCGAACGAAAGAGAATACACGTTCTACTCACAGGTTCACAAAACACACTCCAGGACTGACCATATACTGACATCAGGCACCCTTCTCCCAGCCATCACAGACTGCTCCATAGGAAATATAGTCTGGTCCGACCATGCTCCACTTACAATGACCATACTAACTCAATACCAACACAGAGGAAAACCACCGTGGCGCCTCAACGACACCCTGTTACATAATATCGCATTCACGACAAAACTCATGAACAGCCTGGAAACGTACTTCGAACTCAATGATCTCCCGGGAACCTCCGCCGAAGCTATTTGGCAGGCCCATAAACCTGTCATGAGAGGCCTCCTGATAAGCCAAGCATCCTTCCTTAAAAAACAACAAGAACGAGAACACATGGATCTTCTAAGAAAACTGCGTGACACGACCAACGAACACCTATTGAAACCGTCTGACGAACTAGCCAAGTCAATAGCCCTCATAACCAACCAAATCAACACACTAGCTCTAAGCAAGACAACACATATCCTAACGAAATTGAAGATGAAAACATACACACAAGGCAATAGGGCAGGGAAACACCTAGCAACCATCCTCCGACAAAAACAAGCGAACTCTAAAATACCATACCTGCTCACTAAGGAGGGAGGAAAAATCCACAACCCACAAGACATAAACGATGAAATGGCAGACTACTACCAAGCGCTATACAACCTAAAAGATGACCCCGCACTACACCAACCCTCACACGAAGACATAGAAGATTATCTCCAAAAAACAACGCTGCCCACACTATCCATAACACACAAACAAATTCTTCAGGCCCCAGTAACGACCCAAGAAATAATAGACACGATTCACGCACTCCCCATAGGGAAGTCCCCTGGCCCTGACGGTTTAACTAACTCGTACTACAAACAATTCGCACACGTCCTAGCCCCTCATTTAAACAAACTAATCAATCACACACTACAAACTGGAACACTGCCAGAGGAGATGCTAATGGCTCATGTAGCCACCCTGCCGAAACCGGGAAAACCCCCCAACAGAAGTCAAAACTTACGGCCAATTTCCCTACTGAACACTGATGTCAAACTCATCGCAAAAATCTTCACAAACAGACTATCTCCCATAATCCCCGAGCTAATAGGCAAGGACCAAGTGGGATTCGTAAGCGGTAGGCAGGGAGTAGACGGCACACGGAAAGTACAAGACCTCTTACATGGTTTGCGGGAGAAAAGGGCCCCAAGCATCCTCCTATCCCTAGATGCTGAGAAAGCATTCGACAGACTCCACTGGCCGTTCCTACTAGCGGTTCTACAAAAATTAGAATTCCCTCCCCAATTCCTTGCCCTCATCAGAGCACTATATTCCTCTCCTACGGCGCGAGTGACGAATGGGGGATTTATCTCCAAAACCTTCAAAATTTCAAATGGCTCCCGCCAAGGCTGCCCACTCTCCCCAATACTATACATTCTGGCACTCGAACCCCTGGCCCAAATGATAAGAGATGACCCCGCCATACGCGGAATGCACATAAAAGGGAAAGAATATAAACTGACGCTATTCGCGGATGATATTCTATTATCGTTAGAGCACCCGCACATATCTCTACCACAATTCCATAAAATACTGGCCCTCTACAGTAGATGCTCTTACTACAAATTAAACATAGCAAAAACACAGGCCCTGAGCATTAACATCCCAAACCACGACCTGAACGCCCTGAAAACACATTTTAACTATGAATGGAGACAAGACCATATCAAGTTTCTAGGGATCAATTTCACACCCACACCCGCCACCTTATTTAAAGCAAACTACACAAAACTTTTAGGGGAAATCAAATCCATCACACAAGGATGGAAAGGCAAATATGTATCATGGATGGGACGAATAGCATCGACAAAAATGATACTTCTACCTAAGATACAATACCTCTTCAGAACGCTCCCCCTTCAGCTCCCCACAAAACATCTCCTGGAAATACAAGAACAAATTAACACATATGTCTGGGAAAACACAAAACCCAGGGTAGCGCGTACCACTATGTTCCGACCACTCTCTCAGGGAGGTATGGGCTTACCTGACATAAGAGGATACTATCGAGCAGCGCACATAGCCCTGCTCCTCTCAGCATTCCATCCAAAGAAGCGATGGCCTGGGTCGAAATTGAAACAAGCTATGCTAATGGACTTTCCCTACCAACTATGGCCTGGATACCGAAACACCAAAGACCAAGCAACAAATCACTACTACCAACAACTCAACTAACCTTAACAATCTGGGATAACTATCGCAAAAAGATTGGCATACTGATGAAAATATCCCCAGCCCTCCCATTAGAAGCATTGAGCGTCATTATCACGGACTTCAACTACAAAATATGGAACAAACACGGCGTGCGAACCCTATCCCAGCTTACGACAGACTCCCACCTCAAACATCTGCCTGACCTCCAACGAGAATTCCATTTACCTGCAGCAGCTACCTTCCCCTACAGGCAACTGCAAGCCTGGTTCGCTCTACAGACGAGGAAATTGGCAATAACCTTCCCGGAACCACCCCTACTGGAAGTCGAAAAGATATGCCTAACAACCAAACTAGCCAAGAAACTGATCTCATTGATCTACGCTTCAGAACATAACCAACCCTCAAAACACCCCCCATCCTTTAAAACAGCATGGGAGAAGGACATCAAACACCCACTTACTGAAGACCAATGGCAGAACATTTACAAAGCACACAAACAAATGACACTCTGCATGAACCATGTAGAACTCTCCCGCAAAGTTCTCTACAGGTGGTACCTGGTGCCCACACGCCTCAAGTTCAGCTTCCTCGACACATCAGACATGTGCTGGAGATGCCAGGCGGACAAAGGCACCATGATCCACATCTGGTGGCACTGCCCGCAACTCACGACATACTGGCTAGAAGTAAAGAAGCTAGCAGCAAGATGCACCAAAACGCACCTGCCAATCCTGCTGGAAATATTTCTCCTACTACTACTTCTGAACAAACTGCGAAAAAGCCACAGATACCTCCTCTACCACATCATCATCTCGACACTAGCAACCATAAGCAGGAGATGGAAACAAACAACCCCACCGACAATAGAACAATGTATCAAAGCGATAGACGACTCCAAACGCTACGAAGTGATGGCAAGGAAAACGAGACCAAAAGCAACATACCACTCTACAGCTTGGGAAATGTGGGACGAGAATAAGCTACAACCCCCATAAATGAGCTCCTACCCAAAACACCACATAAGGACGCTTAACCACTCTCTAACAACAAGCTCCACGAAGGTAGCACTTCCCTCTTCCTGCCACAACCCCAACAAAGGAATCAGAGGAATCCACATCCCGCTAAGTCACCCTGCCCCTCCACCCCACCCTCCCTCCCAAGGGAACAAATAAAAACACAGGCATACTAGCTCACGACGTCCCCATACACCGACCCATACTCCTAAGGATAGACTAAGGGACCCAAGCAAAAAGGTGTACGACTCCAACAGCAGCAGGGACGAGACACAAGACATCACCAAGCAGACACACCTTAGCAGGGTAAACATACCCCCCCCCCCTACTCTGGAACACCCTAACAAACACGCAACCTCTGTAACCACACGTTAAACATAGAACCCCAAAATGAGGTACAAACGAACAGAGGACTAGCAACAAATCACTGCACTGTGCCTATATACTGAACCCTGCACACCTGAATCAAATTGTTGACTGTACAAATGACTACGTATACAATGTATTGAACTTGAATACTGTATGCTATGTCCCCCCCCCCCTACTTTCTTCTGTACCCCATTACTCCAACCCGACAAAATAAAAATTGTCAAATTCAAAAAACAAAAAAATACAAAAGGGGGCTTAAGCTTAACCCCTTAAGGACACATGACATGTGTGAAATGTCATGATTCCCTTTTATTCCAGAAGTTTGGTCCTTAAGGGGTTAATGAAACAACTTGAGTGTATAGATCGTGCACCTGCAGTTGAACTGCCATTTTGGAGTTAAATCAGTTTTGTTTCTATTTATGCAGTCCTAGTCACACCTCCACTGGCTGACAAAGACAACATGAAAAAATGGTTTCATTTTCAATCAGATCTTAACTCAGTTGAGAAGTTTTTATCTCGGGCTCTGTACTTTAATCACACACAGGAGGCTTCTGTGGGGTCTGGAAGGCTATTATCAGAGCAGAAAATAAGAGTTTCTAAATTAAACAGACCATGCAATAAAGGAAGTTTAAACATTTGATCTCTCTTTACAGGAAGTATTTAGGAAGGCTGTACAGGTTACATGCAAGGAGGTGTGGCTAGGGCTGCATAAATAAAGTGAAAATTGAGCAGTGAGACTGCAGGTGCATGATTTATACACCAAACTGCTTCATTAAGCTAAACTTGTTCAGATTCCTATAGTGTCCCTTTACATCACTGCTAGAGAAACACAGATGAAGGGTAGAAAGGCATTGAGAGTTATATTTTTCCCAGCTGAGAGGCAAGTGATTTCTTCCAAAATTTCAATACACACAAATTAAAGAAAAAATAGGATGGTATATAGTAGGATATACCCTGATGCTTTACCTGGATTCTAGCATTAAGGGAGATGTAGTCCATAACATCTGGAGATACACAGACACATAGACAGATACGTATACAGACACACATACAAACACATAGATACACCTACAGACATACAGAAACACATGCACACACAGATAGATACAGTTTGCTTTGACCTTGTAGATAAGACTTTTAAGTAAGTCATTGTTGCTTGCTTTTCATGTACACATGCGCAGTAGACTAATACCATTTTATATATGTGATGCTCTCCTATTAAAGACTGAGATTGATTTTTGTACTAAAACGGAGTAAGTATGTGGTTTTATTATCGGTTCTTCCGAACACCTAATTAGGAGCCCCTGGTTATCTCTTGGATGATTTATCCGTTATAAATTTCTATATCAGTTTCCAGTGGCAGGCTGAGGTAGTTGGGAGTCAGAGCCTCTCACTCTGTTCCACTACTCTTCTACTCCCACTCACGCGTCACCCAGTAATAGCTGGGAGGACGTGTCCGGGTGTCACTTCCTCCCTGCGCTGACATCTTTAAAGTGGTCCGGTTGCGCTATTAAGGGGCCAAAGCGCTGACCAGCCGGGCCCCTGAGGATACAATGCCATTGCGTGATGCTAAGTGCATGGGCCACCCAATGGGCCCCCTCAACAGGCGCGTCCGCTGCCTGAAATAACTTCCTTTAAGATCAGCAATCCTAAGAGAAGTTATTGTGGGCAGAGGGCAAATGGAACAGCTGCTTTAGCTGTGCACAAATCAAAACCATCTGTGCGCTCCCTTGAAAACTCCTTTCACGCACACCTCAGCAGAAACTGTGTTCACCGATAATTTTTTTATATAGCATTAAGAAGCATTTATTCATAAAAAAAATGTAATGTTCTTTAATGAAAAATACTATACTATATTTTACTATCTAGAATTGGCCTTACAACCAGTGGACAGGGTAAATGGGGAGGAGGGCGGGCGACCAAAACTCTGGTTACGCCACTGTATATAAATTCATTCATTCTTTCTTTCTTTCCTTCATTCATTCCTTCCTTCATTTATTCATTCTTTCATTCATTCCTTCATTTATTCATTCTTTCCTTCATTTATTCATTCTTTCTTTCCTTCATTCATTCTCTTTCTTTCATTCAATCATTCTTTCCTTCATTTATTCATTCCTTCATTTATTCATACATTCCTTCCTTCATTTATTCTTTCATTCATTCATTCATACCTTCATTTATTCATTCATTCCTTCATTTATTCATTATTTCTTTCCTTCATTAATTCTTTCTTTCCTTCTTTCTTTCCTTCATTCATTCTCTTTCTTTCGTTCAATCATTCTTTCCTTCATTTATTCATTCATTCTTTCATTCATTTATTCATTCTTTCTTTCCTTCATTTATTTATTCATTCATTCTTTCCTTCATTTATTCATTCATTCTTTCCTTCATTCATGCTTTCCTTCTTTCTTTCATTCATTCTTTCATTCAATCATTCTTTCCTTCATTTATTCATTCATTCTTACATTTATTCGTTCATTCATTCATTCTTTCCTTCATTCTTTCTTTCTTTCATTTATTCATTCATTCTTTCCTTCATTCTTACCTGCATTCATTCATTCTCTAGTCTAGCCCAATCAGCTGATTCGGACTACATTTCCCATGATTCCCACCCAGCTTGTAGCCTGACTGAGCATCATGGAACATGTAGTCCCGCATTAGATATGACGCCGGATCGCTGCTGCTAAGTCATCACTCCATGTCGGGTTTCCGTACATAGCTGCTCCATGTGCGCACTCCGTACATACCTGAGCTGGGTAAAGCCAGTCCGTCTCCGTGGATGTCCCCCGGGATACAGTGTCCGCACACCGGCCGCTCTCCCCAGAGATCACTCACTGCACTGTTTACCTCCCCACGCCAATCATGCCGCCTCCACTCCAAAAACCACGCCCACCACCATGCTAGCCACGCCCACTTGCAGTTAAAGAAGCCGTTATCCAGCAAAGTTTCTCCCTATGAGACACGCCCACGTACTCCTCTAACCCCACCCCCATACGGTTTTTTCCTTCTGGTGGTGGCAATCAGTTTGTCGGAGCCCCGCCCTTTCCTAGAATGACTCCGCCCCACAATACGGCGCGGAGATTGACAGTTAGAGCGCTGGCGGTTACTATGGTAACAGACATGCCGCGGGGAGCCGGGCGGGCTAAGGGAGCCGGGTGGGGTCAAACTGCCAGCACGGTGAGAGGGAGCCGCGCGGGGCTGGAATCACTGTATTACACTGGCAGACAGTGCGGTGTCTGTAACTGCAGCATCCAACACGCTGTGAATGTCTCTATAACCTGCTCCCATCAGCCTCAGCCAGCATCAGCAGGACCCCCAGGGAAGCCCCCCTCCGGCACACAGAATGCATGCTAACAGGAGGGTGGCCACACATGTGAAAACATTGACATGTATGTGTGCAGCTATCTGTGTGTCTGTGTGTGTCGCTGTGTCAGTGTGTGTCGCTGTGTCAGTGTGTGTCTCTGTGTCAGTGTGTGTCGCAGTGTCAGTGTGTGTCGCTGTGCCAGTGTGTGTCGCAGTGTCAGTGTGTGTCGCAGTGTCAGTGTGTGTCGCTGTGCCAGTGTGTGTCGCAGTGTCAGTGTGTGTCGCTGTGCCAGTGTGTGTCGCTGTGCCAGTGTGTGTCGCTGTGTCAGTGTGTGTCGCTGTGTCAGTCTATCGCTGTGTTAGTGTGTGTATGTGTCAGAGTGTATCTCTGTGTCAGTGTGTGTATGTGTCAGAGTGTATCTCTGTCAGTGTGTATCGCTGTGTCAGTGTGTGTCGCTGTGTCAGTGTGTGTATGTGTCAGAGTCTATCGCTGTGTCAGTGTGTGTATGTGTCAGAGTGTATCTCTGTGTCAGTGTGTGTCAAAGGATGCAGCTATACGAAAACACATACTCTATGCTAATCTCTCTCTAATTTATGCTTTCATCTTTCAAGTAAATCCATACCCCCCCAACAGTGTCAGTGTGTATCTCTGTGTCAGTGTGTATCTCTGTGTCAGTGTGTATCGCTGTGTCAGTGTGTATCTCTGTGTCGCTGTCAGTGTGTGTCTCTGTGTATCTCTGTGTCAGTGTGTCGCTGTGTCAGTGTGTGTATGTGTCAGAGTCTATCGCTGTGTCTGTGTGTATGTGTCAGAGTGTATCTCTGTGTCAGTGTGTGTCGCTGTGTCAGTGTGTGTATGTGTCAGTGTGTGTATGTGTCAGTGTGTATCGCTGTGTCAGTGTGTGTTTGTTTCTATGTGTGTATCTGTGAGTTTTAAAGGAGCACTATAGGCACCCATTCCAATGTAGCTCATTGAAGTGGTCTGGGTGCAATCTTCCTGTCCCCTTTAGTCCTGCATATGATAACATTATACAAATATATCCGGGGGCAATACAAACCATTGTGTGAAAATCTATTCACAAACAGGACTATACATAGGACATGAGGTCATGCGTTTAGAGCAGGGCCAGATTAAGAGCCCAGTGGGCCTGGTGCTGACAATCATGATGGGCCTAATTACAGAATCTTATCGACCAAAAACACTAAAACAATCAGACCTCCCAAGCATCATGTATGTAATGGAGATGGTGTTGGAGGGAAACGCAAAGGATGCAGCTATACGAAAACACATACTCTATACTAATCTCTCTCTAATTTATGCTTTCATCTTTCAAGTATATCCATACCCCCCCCAACAGCAGTGTCCAGTGAAGCAGGAAGTCAATGGGCAGGGTAAAAGGGTGTGCCACTGGCGTGAGTAACGTGACCAGACCTGCCAAAAGGGGTGAACATGCCCAAAAAGGGGGCATGCTTGTCCAAAGAATTGGAAGGCCAGCCTGGCATGAATGCATGTGAGGCTGTCTGCCAATCATGCAGGCTGTCCAACTAAGGGCATTCTATGCAGGCAGCACCCTGAGCTTGACATAAATGCATCAAATGATGCGCCTATTCCACGCTTTCTAAGGACTGTCCCTTAGCACTCGTCCACTTGTCTCCTTACCTTCTTACTAGCAGGCAGAAGTTCCTGGTATATAGTCTGGGACAGAGTAAAGGTGTATGTAGTGAGTGTAGAAGAAAGGGGACATGCCACAGTGTTAGAGAGACCAAAGTCTGCATTACCTAGACTAATTTTATTGTCAGCCAGTCCACACAGGTTTTGTTGCCATACATCCCTCTTAAGCTTCCAAACTTAAAGGGGCACAATAGTCACCAGAACAACTACAGCTTATTGTATTTGTTCTGGTAAGCAGAATCATTCCCTTCAGGCTTTTTGCAGTCAACACTGTTTTTTTCAGAGAAAAAAACTCCACTGGCCACTCCTTAGATGGCTGCTATAGGTGCTTCCTGGGGCAGTACTGCCTAGTGTGCAGAACTGCCATTCAGTGTCTCAGCCCTCTGCATGCAGGCACTGAACTTCCTCACAGAGACACATTGATTAGTATGTATCTTTATGAGGAGATGCTGATTGGCCAGGGCTGTGTTTGAATTGGGCTGGCTCTGTCCCTGATCTGCCTCCTTGAGAGTCTCAGCCAATCCTATGGGGAAGCATTGTGATTGGCTCAGACCACCACTTCTGATGATGCCAGCAGACAGAGGCAGTTCAGAGAAATTGCCAGCAGCTGCAGACTTGAATACAAGTAGAATTTTACTATATTTAGGGAGGCAGGAGGGAGTCAGCGGGGCTAGATGGTGGTTTTAACATAATAGGGTCAGAAATACATGATTGTGTTCCTGACCCTATAGTGTTCCTTTAAGCAAGAGTATATGAAGAGTAGTTAGGGTTGCCACCTTTCTTGGAAAAAAATACCAGTCTTAATCATTTGTATAATTAATTAGTTATGCGTGGCATCACATGATGTAAATCACAAGTCGAGACATAAGAGAAAATTCTGTAAAATCACCAACAAACTACTCACAGTTTGATTCTGCTGTATAGATAGATTGCTCCCAGTGTCTCCCTGTCTCCAAGTGTCTCAGTCTCGCAAGTCACCCAGTGTCTCCGTGTCCCTATGTATCACAGTGTCAGTGTCCCCATGTCGCCCAATCCCCTAGTCTCCCAGTGTCCCCATTTCTCCCAGTGTCTCCATGTCTCACTATGTCCCCATGTCACTAGGATACTAGAGGACACAATGAGACATGGGGTCACTGAGACACTTGGGGACACTGGGAGACATGGAGGAACTTGTGGATACAGACATGGGGACACTGGGAGACTTTGGGATACTGGGAGACATGGGGACACTGACTGGGAGACAGACACTTGGAGACACTGGGAGACATGGGGACACTGAGAGACATGTAGACACTGAGACATGTGGAACACTAGGCACACTGAGAGACATGGGGATACAGACACTGGGAGACATGTGGACACTAGATGGGAGACATGGGGACACTGTGTCCCTAGTGTCTCCGTGTCCCAATGTCTCCCAATTTCCCTATGTTTTACAGCATTCCCATGTGTCTCAGCATCCCTTGGTGTCTCAATGTCCCCATGTTTTCCAGTGTCCCCTAGTGTCTGTGTCCCCATGTCTCCCTGCTGCCTCTACCCCCATCCCTCACTTACCTGAGCTGTAGAGCTGCTATCTGTGCTGTGTAGCTGCTCCCCCAAGGATCATTGAGTTGTAGAGAGAGGCAGGGATATTAATAGACATAGAACACATAGATGCCACACGTCTATGGCATTATGTGCTGAGCGTCGAGGAATTCGGGCGCCATCTTGGACCGGTCGCTGCTCTACTGAAGCTATTGAAGAACCCTTAGAAAGTCCATCTCACAAAATGTAAGTGAAGGACTTGGGGCACTGGCTAAAATACTTTAAACATGCTCTGTTCATTTGAGTTATGTACTTTTGTACTACAGACAGAGAGACCAACCGTTAGCCCTGATTTCCTGGAACTGTTTTGGGCATAGGACCATGTGCACGGTCAGTCACAAATAAGACTTCCAGGAAATTCCCGAACCCCTGAACTGATCTGGGTTATTTTTGGATATGTTGGTCACCTAGATCAGGGCGTTCAGCGGATGTAACATTTGTGGGGTTTTATGTATTTTTAGGGTACTTTTGGGGTGTTTTTTAAAAAAAAATAATATTTTTTCTGTGCTTGGAGATAATTGGATTAGAATTAGTACAGTTACTGATCCAATTATCTCCCAAACAGAGGGGAGGGATTGTGTGCTATATGTGGGAGTGCCTTACATTGTAAATGTGTTATTATTGGTTTGTAAGTTTGTGTCCCTGTCCCCAACAAGGTCCATGTGGGCGTACACCTTGCTTGGGGACTTGCATAAAAGTCCAGTGTGGCTCCCATTAAAGAGAGATTTGTTTACCCCTTTATGAAGTCTTGGCTCATGTTTGGGGGATTGGAGAACTACATTCACTCTGGTGATTGCTATATCACAATACTCCCCTGAGTATAATCACTAGCTCTTATAAGAGCTGTTCCTGCTGCGCTCTCTGGACTAAGAGAGGTCTATCCACTGGAAGCTGGATCCTGGTCTTGGGTCCAGGGTGGGTAGAGGACAGCAAGACCCCAACCAAGCTGCGGTGGTTCGTGGGGTTTACGGTGGTTGTGGTGTTCCAGTACAGTGCTTATGGTGCTCACAAGTACTAGGAAGCAACGATTGATGGAGGTACCCGTCTTTACTCACTGATTCACCAATGTTGTAGTGAGTAGTATCTTAGAGTTATAAATGTTGTAGCAGGGGTGATAAGGGACTGCCTCAAAGTAGTGGGCATTTATTGGCGTAGGGATTCTTTTCCTTCTCCTTCTCGTTTTTCCCTTCCTTCTACGCTTTGCTATCATGCAGTGTACCAGTGTACCGCAATCTTTTAAGTCACACACTTAAAGGGACACTGTAGTTACCAGAACAAATAGAGCTTAATGTAGTTGTTCTGGTGTGTATAGTATGTCCCTGCATTAATATTAATGTAATCACTGCCTGATACTGAATGTTCCCCATAGAGATGTACTGAGTCAGTGCATTTCTATGAAGAGATGATGATTGTGACTGTTTCTGCTAAACAAAATTATATATGTGTGGGTACACTTAATATGAAATAGGTACATTAAGGTCGAACAGACATAGCTAAAATTCCTTGTTTTGTTTTCATTTTGTTTTGAACAGTACAATTTCCTCCGTTCTTAAAGGGATACTCCAGGCACCCTGACCACTTCTGACCATTGGAGTGGTCTAGGATCCAAATCCCACTACCCTTAACCCTGCAAGTGTAATTATTGCAGTTTTCATAAACTGTAATATTTACATTGCAGGGTTAAGTCCTCCAGGGACATCCGTGTTCATAGAACATGAAAAGTGTTTTAAAACGACGCATGAGGACCTCCAGCGTTGCCAAAATCCCCATTGCCGCGCATGCGCATTCGGTCTCCCCCGCTGGCTGACGGCGGGAGAGGAGAGTAGGCAGAGCCCTTCAGCAACTTGGGATGGGGGGGAGGAGGGAGAGGGGTACTAGAGGGTCCTGCAGTGCCAGGAAAACGAATATGTTCTCCTGGCACTGGAGAATCCCTTTAACCCCTTAAGGACACATGACATGTGTGACATGTCATGATTCCCTTTTATTCCAGAAGTTTGGTCCTTAAGGGGTTAGACACGTCTGGTTTTCTTTTCTTAACTTATCCTTCATCCTGACTTTGATGTGTATACCTTTGACCTCATTGTACCTACCTGAGTAGTAGTTCTCCCACCATTTTCTTTTGAAGGCTCTTACATAAGGAGGTAGATTTACTAAATCTCACAGACAATTTTGTCATGTTTAGTGTTTTTTATTTGCAGTTTTTTTCACAGTTAAATAAAATTTGTTGTTTTTTTCCATGTGCTGTACCTTGTTAATTTGCTGTACCTTGTCTTATGCTGTGTCTCGCACACAGGATGGATGCAGCAATCAAGAGTAGTTGCATGGCCCCCATTCTGCCAGAAATAGCTCAAACATATGTGACATCGTGAATAAAATAATGTTCAGCAATCCATTTTTCCATTGTAATGATAGGCAAGCCCTCCAAAATAAAAAGTAGGATACAAATCACTGTGTTATAGCAAGGCTTTGTGTCACCTGCCATTATTCCATCATACCTTGCTCACTATACAAGCAGATGACGACGCAGCAGGCCAGTAGGTGTAATGCAGTTTCATCAGAACAGCTGCTGTTATCAACATGGCTGAACAAGCAGTGGTTATAGACAACGGTTCTGGAGTAATTAAACTTGGACTTTCAGGAGAACTAAAGCCACGATTCATGTATTCAAATATCATAGGCAGACCGAAATACAAACCTATCATGATTGGAGCTGGACAGAAGGATTATTATATTGGAGAGGAAATACAAGGAAGAAGGGGTATCCTCTCATTAAAATACCCTGTTGAGCATGGGGTGGTGAATTCATGGGATGAGATGGAGCTCATATGGAGGTATGGCTATCAAAGAAACTTAATGCTGGACCCATGTGAGAAACCAGTCCTTGTTACTGAGGCACCTCTGAATCCACGTTCCAACAGAGAAAAGATGATGACTGTTTTATTTGAGGGCCTTCAAGTTCCTGCAACATATGTTGCAGTCCAAGCAGTTTTAGCTCTCTACTCCTCAGGAAGAGTAACCGGCTGTGTGGTGGACATAGGTGATGGCGTAACGCACACTGCACCTGTCTTTGAAGGATACTGTCTTCAACATGCTGTGCTAAGGCTTGATCTAGCAGGCAGAGACCTGACTGATTATCTAATGCGAATACTAAATGAAAGTGGCATTTCTTTTATTAGTACAGCTGAAAGAGAAATTGTCAAAGAAATAAAAGAAGCGGTGTGCTACGTGGCTCTGGACATAGAATTGGAAAGATCGAAGGACCCTGCAGCATTGGAAGAAAAATACACACTTCCAGATGGAAAAATAATCCATGTCCAAAAAGAGAGGTATACATGTCCAGAAACATTGTTTAGCCCAGATAAAATCGGAGTAGAAGGACCGGGAATTGATAGATTGTGTTTTAACAGCATCATGAAGTGTGACATTGACCTTAGGAGCACCCTTTTCAACAATGTGTTAATGTCTGGAGGGACCAGCTTGCTTCCTGGAATTGCTGGTCGTATGACCAAGGAACTGACAACATTGATGTCACCAGAATACCCACTAAATGTTTTTGCCTCACCTGAATCAATGTTGGCAGTATGGATGGGAGGATCTATATTGTCATCTTTGTCTCCCTTTCAGAAAATGTGGATCACACGGTCAGAATACATGGAAGCTGGTCCATGTATAGTACACAGAAAATGCTTCTAGATTAATGCTTCAAAGTAACTGAATAAAACCAGATGTAACTGTATACATTGTTTAATGTTTTGTTTTGTGTTCTGTTTTTCTTTAAGTGAAACTTTCTTAGTGACACAGGTTATTTTGGTTATTTTGTAAAGGTAGATTCCAAGCACCATAACCACTACTACCCATGTTGTGGTTATGGTGCAAGGGTCCCGTTGTAAGCAAACAGTTAGAACAGTTTTAATTCTTACCTGGGGTCTACCATGCACTGCTCCCTGCCTCCACTACTGATGATGGAGCATCGAAAGCTCCTAAGCAGGAGCTTCCATCTGCTGTCCCGAGCTAAGCCTTGCAAAGCAGGGCTACTTCAACGGCTGAGAGGATCAGCCCTGCACTGACAGACATAGAACTGGAAGCTCTCTAACTGAAGTACTGGAGGGGTGGAGTGGCGGCTCGCAGAGGTGTAAGGTGTGAAACCTCTGTGAGGTGTGAAACCATTCTAAAGCGGATGGACTCCTTACAATGAGTGGATGTGGGGGGCAAAAATTGTCAAAAAAAATCTGTTGCATCATTCTCTACAGAATTACAAACTGCCTCTGGGAGCAACATCAGTACAATTACTGTACATAAGGAAGTGTCTGTTTTCATACATTACAGCTTTACAAACCTCACTTGTTTAAATCATGCCCCACTGGACTCTGGAGCAGCGTAAATGTGTTTTCTGGAGTGATGAATCACACTTCATTGTCTGGCAGTCTGATGGAAATATCTGGGCATGGGGTATGCCCAGTGATGGCTACCTTTCGGAATACTTAGTGCCTACTGTAATGTTTGATGGAGAAGAGATGGTGGTCTGGGGTTATTTTGAGTTTGGGCTAGCTAAATTTGTCACAGTGAAGGGCCATCTTGTTATACAATGCAAAGACATTTTAGACACTTGGGTGCTTCTACCTTTGTTGCAATAGTTTAGGGACCGCCTTTTCCTGTTCCAGCATGACTGTGCCCATGTCAGGATTACAGAATGATCCAGCATGTAGAATTGTGTAACACAGAGGACTGATAGGTAACGTATACCGGACCTTAGAATGGCCGGACTAACGTACCAAAGAATAGTCAGGAATAGCCGAGGTCAAGGAAAACAGAAAGAGACACAACGATAAGGAAAAGCCAGGAGTCAGGGATGCCAGAAAACAAGGAAGTCAAAAACAAGGCCAAAGTCAAATAACCAGAATTACCAGAATAAATAACACTCTCTCGGACAACCACAAGGGAAACCATGACAGGACACTGAACAGGATGAGAACTGGGCCTAAATTCCACTCCTCTAGATCTGATAGGCTGTAACCGGCCTTTGACCCCAAAGGCAGTTACCAGGTTCCCATTTGCATTATTGCTGCTCAGCATTAACCCTTCTGTGGATTTGGTTGCTGCTCGGCACAACTTTTCCTGTGTGGACAGTAAATGCCATTAACCACATTTTTATAAGCGGATGAATACGTGACATTAACCCCCACCTGAAGAAAGCCCAGCGGGCGGGCAGGACCAGGCTTGAGAGGAAATTTGGCGTGAAAATAGCGAATCTTGCGGCCAGCATGTATATCAGATGCCGGAACCCAAGAACGATCGGCTGGTCCATAACCTTTCCAATCCACCAAGTACTGTAAAGTGCCCCAAGAAAACCTGGAATCAATTTTGGAGGAGACCTCATACTCTTCCTGTCCATAAACAACTAAGGGAGGAGGAGGGACACTTGAGATAGTATATTTATTGCAAACAAGAGGTTTGAGCAAGGACACATGAAAGGTATTAGGAATTTTCAAGGAGGCCGGAAGGGCAAGAGAGTACACAACAGGATTGATCCTACGAAGGACACGAAAAGGTCCAAGGAACCTAGGAGCAAATGTCATGCTAGGGACTTTGAGCCTGATGTTACGAGAAGATAACCAAACCCTCTCACCCACTTGGTAAACAGGGTTGGCTCCTCGACGTGTATCAGCATAATGCTTGAAACGGTCAGCAGCAGTACCCAGAGCAGATTGAACTTTAACCCAGATATCACGGATGGAAGCCAGATGGTCATTCAAAGCAGGAATAGCCGTATCAAAAAAACAGCCGGTAGGACAGTAGGATGCCGGCCATTATTAACAAAAAATTGACTATGCCCAGAGGAGTCATAGTCAGCATTGTTCCTTGCAAACTCGGCCCATGGTAATAATTTGGACCAATTGTCTTGAGTGCTATTAACAAAACAACGCAAGTATAACTCCAAAGACTGGTTAGCCCTCTCAGCTGTACCATTAGTCTGGGGGTGGTAAGAGGATGAAAAAGATAATTCAATCCCCAATTGCTTATTGAAAGCCCTCCAAAACCGGGATACAAACTGAGAAGCTCTATCAGATACAATATTGTGAGGAATGCCATGCAGACGGACAATCTCACGTATAAAGATCAGTACCAGGTCTTGAGATGACGGTAATTTCTTGAGAGGGATGAAGTGAGCCATTTTAGAAAAACGGTCAACAACCATGAGAATAGTGGTATAACCATTAGAGCTAGGAAGTTCTACAATGAAATCCATAGACAAGTGGGACCATGAGACCTCAGGAACGGGAAGAGGTTGTAACAAGCCACAAGGGAGCTTATGAGGTACTTTGGAAACCGCACAAACAGAACAAGCCTGCACATACTCCTTAACTTCCTGAGGGAATCCCACCAAAATGACCTCATGATAGCAGAAGTGGATTTAGTAATACCTGGGTGACCAGCAGACACATTGTTGTGAAACACCTTCATGATATTAACCCTTTCCTCCCAATGGAAGGAACAATTTGTCCTGAGGTTTACCGCAGGGCGCCTGAGACTGAGCCTCCATGATGGAGCCAAGCAGCGGAAAGGACAATGAAAGGATAGTGGAAGCAATGATACATTCCGGGGGAATGATATGGGACTTTTCTTGCTGTTGTATAGACTCAGTATCAAACTGTCTGGATAAGGTGTCGGCCTTGACATTTTTAGAACCAGGTCTATAAGTAATAAGAAAATGAAAGTGAGAAAGGACCACCTAGCTTGTCTAGAAGACAATCGTTTGGCATCTCTTATGTAAGCCAGGCTTTTGTGATCAGTAATGATCAAAAGGGGGTCCTTGGAACCCTCTAAAAGATGTCGTTACTCCTTGAGAGCTAGAATAATGGCCACCAATTCCCTATTGCCAATATCATAATTGCGCTCTGCAGGAGACAACTTTCTAGAGAAGTAACCACAAGAATGCAATGGAGTATCCTGGCTCTCCCTCTGGGAGAGAACTGCCCCTACTCCTGTCTCTGATGCATCAACTTCCAGTATGAAAGGTTTACTGGTGTCAGGATGTATCAATATGTCGGCGGAGGCAAACTGCTGTTTGAGAGTTTCAAAGGCTTCTACCTTAGACCATATCGTACTGTAACCCCCTTGCGTGTCATATTGGTGATGGGGGCTATTACTGAAGAAAATCCCTTTATAAACCTTCTGTAATAATTGGCAAAACCAATGAACCTTTGAATGGCTTTCAACCCAGTGGGTAAAGGCTATTGTAGAACCAATTCCAGCTTTTTAGGATCCATCTGAAACCCTGAGGCAGAGATATTATATTCCAAAAACTGTACTTCAGATTTGTCAAAGATGCATTTTTCTAATTTACAATAAAGTTGATTCTTTAACAAGGCCTGCAGAACTTGTCTAACATGATCGTGGTGAGTCTGAATGTCAGGAGAATAAATAAGGATATCATCCAGATAGACCAAGACAAACGAGTTAATGTAATCCCTGAGTACATCATTTATGAAATCTTGGAAAACCGCTGGAGCATTGTACAACCCGAATGGCATCACTAGATATTCACAGTGTCCACTTCTGGTATTAAATGCAGTCTTCCACTTGTGGTTTTCCTTGATTCTCACTAAATTGTAAGCACTTCTAAGATCAAGCTTAGTAAATACTTTAGCGCCTTGGAGTCTATCAAATAATTCAGCAATAAGAGGAATGGGGTAGGTGTTCTTAATGGTGATTTTGTTCAATGCCCTGTAATCGATGCATGGGCGCAACTCACCGTCCTTTTTAGATACAAAAAAGAATCCTGCCCCAGCAGGCGAGGATGATTTTTGTATGTGGCCTTTATTCAATATAATATATTCCTCCATTACTCTACTCTCCTGAGGTGACAGAGCATAGACTGCTACCTTAGGTGGCATAGCGCCGGGTAGTAAATTAATGGAACAGTCATAAGGTCTGTGAGGAGGCAGAGTATTCGACTGAGTTTTGCTGAATACTTCTTTAATGTCTTTTTTTTTTGTAAATCTTTTTTTATTGGTGTTTTTGTGAGGTATTTAGCAGTTAATAACAGATGCAAAGAATTGTATAATTGTGGACGTGCAGGTCCAAGAAGCTTTATAACGCAATCATGTACATAGGAAGTTTTAACGGACATTTTAACGTTATATAACCAGGTCTGCTAGGCCTGAATATCGTAAATACATGCACAGTTATGATCAGCACGTTACATAATACCAAACTATCTTTTTCCACCTGACTCCGTTGTGTAGAACTGTTGGCTGCCCCTTTGATTGTATCTTTTCCTAAACGTGTCTTACAACTTATGGGTCTTCTTGTAGCGCATTTAACTGGGGTCCTCTCAAGGTGTGTTCTAAACCGAGCCAGGGATAATTAGTTTTCAGGAGGCTCCGTGTGATTGTCCCAGTCTTCCTTTATGTACCGTTATGGATCTGTGAACGTTGCTAGTGAGTGTAAGGTCTTTCTTTAGGTGGGCCGCCCCTCTAGCCTACCCTAAGGGGGGTGTGCGTATGTTTGTGAGTCATTCTAAGAGGCCCGATAAGCGTGGATGAGGTGGTTACAATGTTTGTTGTGCGTAGCCGACCTGATTGTTTCCTATTACAAGGCAGGTCCCTCCTCATGGTGCGTGTTTGTCCTATCCTTAGAAGCGTGTGTATATGTTAAGAGTTACAAGTGGAAATCAGAAAGTATTTAGTAGT